TTTACCAGGCATCCAGTGAAATGCATAACCCATCTTCATGCATCTCCTCCCACTGACAATACCGTGGGTGTCTCATCCAATACATGCGGCTCGACAGTCTCGTCCAACTCGTCCACGACTATCTTGGCCACATCAGATGTGGAAGTGGAACCATTCGCGGTATGGAACACGATCTCGTCGTCATCTTTCACGATGTCGACACCCAGGCTCTTCGCCTTGGCTCTTCCAATGAGATCATGACCACATCCGGTGTCCATCAAACATTTCACCCGTTTGCTGATGCACGTTGACATGGCGAAAACGTTCTTCGGCATACCATGCTGCTTCTTCCAGTCGACAGCCGATTCCTTGATCTCGTCCTTGTTCCGATCATACTCGAACAGTATGCTGCTCTCCTTGGTCACCGGGAAGTAGTGCTTCTTATATACATCATCCACTACTTCTCTCAGTATCTTCGCACGTATCAATGATCGTTGGACTTGATAGTCTGACAATTCACGATGATCACTGCTTTTGAACTTCTTCTCGTCGACGTACACGTACTGATAAGGCTCATTCTCATTGTCCTCATAACCGTACCATTCCCCTTTTCGTTCCCATTGCCTTCTCTCGTCTTCGAGGTAGGTGTTCTCCCCATTCTCGTCGACGTCGAGCACTTCCTTGAACCACACCATTTTCTCGGGGATCTCGGACTCGCCAGACCATCTCGATGATTCGCTCATCGCGGCGTCATCGTGCTCGTGGTAGACAGTCTCGGCTTCGTCCGGTTCGACCTGATCAACGTCCTTCTTGAAGCTTACCTTCCCTGCAGGAGCCGATTGCTTCAGGACTATCGCGGGCATTGCGATGGCCCTCCTCGCAATGGCAGGCGCTGCGGCTGTGGCGGCAGCCTTCGACTTGGCTTGCGCCTTGTCATTTGACGTTGCTGGAGCTGAATTGTTCTTGATGAGCTCATGCCTGTACTTACAAGCGCTTCCCCTATCGCACCTCCCCTTCTGAAACGCGAAGCATGCTCCATCATCCCTCTTTGGTGACGATGATCTGGACTTGGATTTGCCCTTTCCTTTCCCCTGGGACATGCTCTCCAACTTATGCTCCGTCTTCTTGCTGTGGGAAAAAGTGCATTCATTCCCTTTCACGCACCCCTTCGCCGATTTGAAGTGGTACCAGCAGGGGTTATCCTTGCTTCCGCCCGGACTCTTGCCTCTGTCGCTGGCACCGTCGGACTTGCCGTTCTTGCCAGCGTGACCCTTTGCCTTGGCTTTTGGGAGCACAGGAGCGGCATCAGGTCCACCGGGTTTCCCCTTTCTGCCCTTGCCACCCTGGTTCTCCTGTTTGCCAGTTGCTGGAGCCGCATCCTTCCCGCCTGACTTCATCATCGACTTGACCGATTTCTCCTTCATGTCGAGCATCAGGTCCTCCCGATCTGCCTTGATCTGATAGTCGATCAACGCCAATAAGAATTCATACGTCTTCTGAGGATGCTTGTCCGGTAGTCTATGGTAGGCATTGAGGCCGAACTCCATCTTCTTGCTCCCTTTGATCTTCCTGTAAAGGATGTCTCTGAGAGCCCGCTTACTGGGTCTGTCCTCGCTCCTCATCTTCAGCAGCAAATCATACCATTTGTTCCTGAACATGACCAAGTTCTTGTCGCCAGGAAAGTCAAGGTTGAATAAATGCTCGATGTGGTAGACAAGATCCGTTCTATCGGAAGTTCTGAATGATTGCATAACTAATGCCACCAACTCTCGTCCCTTCACGATCACCCCTGGTTGATGTCGTAGTTCAGAGTGTCGTGTAGCATCGAGGTATACGTCCTTGGCTTCGTCAGGTGCTTGCTTCAGCATGTTCTGCATGCCCATGGCCATCTTAATATCTATCGTAGCAAATCTGTCGCCACCTGAATCGCTAAGCAAATCCAGGTCTGGGTTCAACCCAAGAGCCTTCTCCAGCCATTTCGTCCATGCGTCGGTATCTGGATCTGCACATGCGCTCAGAACATTCATCAGCAGTTGCATCTTCCAGGTGTCAAGTTGATGGATCTTTGGCCAGGCCGGAATAGATACTCTCTCTGCCTCTTTCCTCGAGATTCTCGGTCGATCATTCTTGATCTCTCGGTTATCTCTCGATCTCCTTCGTCTCCTCCGTGTCCGATCGTCTTCTTCCTCTTCTTCTTCCTCGTCTTCCTCATCTCCTTCGTCGTCGTCATCCTCATCCTCATCATCGGGTGGATCATTCGGAGGTCCTCCTCCGCCACCAGCGAGGCTCAACTGACGTCGACCCGCTCCCTGCCCATTCCCATTGGGCGGGAATCCACCGTAATCCAATGGGGGCGTAGTACCGTTGTTTCCCCCTCCATCACCACCACCCGTCGTAGTAGTGGATTGTGGGACATGCCCAACAACCCCTTGCATCTGGGATAGGTGTACATCGATCATTGGATCACCGAAAGACGGAAAGAGGATCGAACCTGGCATCAGCGACGAATTAGGGATTTGATGTGAAGACGATGACGGGACTGACCCAGCCACCTTCTTGTCTATCCTATTTGAATTAGCCTGGGTTCCTCCCTCAGCGCGTTTCACTACTGCTCGTTCACGTTGTCCATCTTTGCTGCTGGAGGCTTCCTGTGTCTCCAGCTTCTTGTGTGCACGTAGTTCCTCGTTGTCAGCATCGAGTTGGCGTACAAAACTCTCTTCTTGCTTGAGCGTCGCCTCTCTTTCTTTCAGTTGTCTCTGAAGCCCATGCATCTCCTCGAGGTACTCATCGTACATTCCCTTAGCTGTCAATCTCCAGTACTCAGCCTCCTTCGACTTCTCGTCCATCGTGCACCGTTCTTCTTGTTTCTCTTCTTTGACCTGGGCTAACTCCAAGATCGCATCTTGACGATGACCACCTTCGACAGCAATCATCTGGTCCTTCATCGACACGTCGGACTCATACTGTTTGACGATCTCTTCTTTTTCGCGACGCAAGCACTCTGCTCTCTTCGATTCCTGTTCCGCAAATACTGTAACGTCATTCAGCCTCGCCATCAGCTGTTCCCTGGAGTCCTCCAAAGAGTACGTCTCGGGGCGCTTGACGAGTGCATGCTCCAACTGTGATTTCAGACTTTGGACCATCTCCTCCTCGTTGAACTTCTCGATCGATGTAGAAGATTCTATGCCTCTGATCTGTTGCTGATAAACTGATATCTGTTGTGAAGCCTCACGGTGTATCTGGTTTGCACGTATAGCTGATTCCTGCGCGGCCGACTTCTCGCTTGCCATGTAGGATTTCATCAATGCAATCTCCCGCTTCTGCTCCATGATAGTTCCTTCAGCTTGCCTAATCTGTTGCATTATAATATTCGACTCCATGTCTTTCTTCTCCCCGTACTGAAATGCGTTCATTTCCACCTTGCGCATCTGTTGGGCTTCTTCCTCAAACTTGCGCCATGCCTCAGCCATGTGGTGTTGGTGGTGTCTCACTAGATGTCCCGACTGCTTGCTGGCAATCTCGCATCGTCTTTCCAGCTCCTGGATCCGGATGGTGCTTCCATAGTCTTCTTGGTTAAGATTCGCCATTGCTGCCGACATTTCATCAAGTGTCTTTTGATATTCCCCGATCTCCACCTCCAGCTTATTCTTCTCTTTGATCACGGCGCGAAAATCTGCACTGGTGGGTGATTTTGACCTCCCACCCTTCGATGTCGATCTCACGCCCTTCTGCGACGTCCGTGGTGACGCAGGCGAAGATGATGATCTTCTCGGTGGGGATTCTCTTTTCTTCGACTCCTGATGAACATCGATCTGCTTCCATGATCTTGTGGGAGTAGATATGTCGCTGAATAGCGCGGAACCTCCGCTCCCAGGTTCATCCTGTGAATCTGCACCCATATCCATCACCGCAGGAAGAGCCATCAATCCATTGGATCCCTCTGAGCTGCTGTTCCCAAAAGTTGCAGTACTTGGGCTCGCCGAAGACGCCATTGTACTGTGTAGGTTTTCGTTCCTTTATTGTCCCTGTACCCGCAATAAACCAGCTGTCTCCCAGTCCAGTGTAGAGCTTGTAGTTACGGCTGATAACCTGTCAAGAGACGGCAAGGTGACGTCCCGAGGGACGCTATGCACCGAACCCTCAAGCTGTAATACCAACCACGTAGAAAGGTGTATACGGACGATGCCGTTATAGCCGAACCCGTGTAAACGTTGTAAGGAAGAAGGAATGATAGTTACAACAGTGGTCCTGACAACTGCAGCGCAAGCAAAGAGTTTTCGCTCTCGACGCCGATCACGTCTATACGCAGTCACACATCAGATCTTGAACCTCAATTGTGTCTTGAGCCAAATGGCGATCAATGGAACTTGGGAAGCAACACCAACAAGGACCTCAGAACAGCTACCCAATTTCGGCACGGGGCCTAGAGGGTTTTAACAAAATGCACAAGCAAGAACGAGCTGAAGTCTTCCGCCCATTTTCGCAAAAGATCGGTCATGGCTTTGCCAATTGCGCTTCAGCGGCCTCCTTATGCAATTTGGAAGCAAAAAAGAAGCGCTTCTTGATAGGGTGAAAATACACAGCATGACAACTCTCATTGCGAATTAGCGCGGCAAGTTTTTTTGGAAGGATGCGGATGCCATTTACAACATTCGAAATACCTGCCGGATAAGCCGTCAGGAGCTCTTGCGCCATCTTGCACCCTGTAACTGTGGGGTGCACTTGAAGCTCCATGAAGCCTCGCACTTCATCATCGGCAACTCGCTGATACTCTTGCTTCGTGTCATCCAATGGCATTCCTTTCCTTAGTTCAAGAGATACACAACACATATCCCTGAGAGGTTTTGAACACCGAAAAAGTAAATCATCATCCGTTCAAGCCGAGATTCTCACAGGCCTTCACCAAGTCGCCAATCCGCAAGCCACCTGAAATGAACTCTGGTCAAAGTCCGCCCAAACAAAAACTCGAACGGGGCAAACACCTTAATCAATCAACATGTTGTTGAATTGAGCCGAAACACAAGCATCCACGAAGTCTTTCCAATTCTTCTCATGCCCATGCAGTGCCAAAAACTCCTTCGCTTCCTGCTCGGTCAAGTCGCCAACCCAAATGTCTTCCTGCCTTTCCAATCCACCAGCATCAAAAGCCAGCGCCACTGCCGCCGAAGAGGCTGATACAATCACCTTGGACCAAGGATAAATAGACGTAACTACAGTCCCCGCAAACCGTTTTCTGTTTGAACCATTGGAACTTAGTCTTTCAGCTGGAGAGCATGTATGGCACAGCCGATTTTGTCCGTCGCCACATCCTTCGCTGTAGAAGAGACTCGGTCGATGCCTCGCCCATAGGAACCGGAACAAAATGACTCGGGTCAAATGCATTACAATATTTGAAAAAAACTGCTGTCCACTCAGTCCTTCAATGGTTGTACGAGGGACTTCAAGAAGAAGGATTGGAAACTTGGTGAGGTTGTCGGGAAAGTCCTTGAGCTTCTCGCCCACTCGGCGCATCATCTCTTTGAACAGACCACTGTTCTCCACTTTAAGTTCCTCGTACATCGTCGTTTCCCAATCGGAACTCTCGATGGTGCATCGCACAACACCTCGCACCCCGCGCAAGGCTTCTTCTGTTGCCACAGACTTGCCTGACTGGTACCGACCCCCACTGATGGTCGCATGTTGTTGCCAGCTCGCAATGCGTTGCCGGAGAGCTTCCATCACTGGCCTTTGGATGACCTCGTCTTGCGGCCTGCTGCTCAAAAGGTTTTCATGGCCTTTGCCACTGCTGCCGATTTGCCCTTGAAGAGGCTTTGAATGCCTGCAACTCAAGGTGTGTTGCGAGACAACAAACGATCGGAGTTCGGTCACTCCCAAGAAAACATGCTCACACAAAGGCTCTGCAATGGTCGAGCGTGGCGATAATCCTCTTCTCCTCACCTCGAGCAAAGATTGAACAGTGAAAAATATAACAATGACAATATAAAACCAAAACTAATGCAAGATGTTTTTTCTGTCTGACCAAGTAGAGAAAAAATTACAAAACAGCAAAGTTTCAATCTAGGACCCCCAATAAATTGCGACGCTCAATAGGCCCCGCATTCTCGCGGGTGCCTCACCTGCGGATGAAAAGAAACAAACTCGCACTTTGCAATGATCCATTCAAGACCACCAAATTTAAAAAAAGTCTTTATAACAGAATAAATAAAAACGCAACGGTCTTGAACACTGCATATCCATCGCCAACCCGCGGTGTGGCACAAAGGCCCCCATCAACTTCACCAAAATAAAGACCAGCGCCATCCATGGCTTGACACGCACTCGGTGCCTCCGCTTCATGGCAAAACTATCCCCACACTCAAGTCCCGACTGCAGAAGAGCTCACATTATTCTAAGCTCAGGGCGTGATTTTGGTAAACTTGGTGTCTGATCTTGATTTTGGACGAAATCAAAAACATATTGCACAAGTCTTTGGAAATTCTGCATGCGTGCGTCCGCCCCGATGTCTTGCCACAAGCCGTTTTGAGCAAACTCTGCGGCATGGACGCTGTCAAGCTGGGCAAACGCGTCGTCAAGCAACAAACGAAGGCCTTAGAAGTAACTTGCAGAACCAAGACGGCGTTAAGGAAGGAGATTAAGAGATTACGTGAGGGCATCTAGCAAAGGAAAGGCTTAAAGGACAATGATATCAGGCAACGATATTTAGAGGATCGCTGCAAGTCCCATTTGCCTTGCATTCGGCCTTGCAAGAGAACTGCCTCGCAAGTTGATAGCGAAGGCCAGTCACTGAGAACACATTTGTTGCATGAACATGTCTAGCGCCCATTGCCCTGTGCGCACACTCTCACCCAATACAGTTTTTGGTTGTGTGGGTGACCTGACAGTGCCTCCATTCGTTGAAAAGAACCCGATGTTGTTTCTCACAAGCTAAGCCTACGCAACAGACTATCATCAGTTTGCGCAGTTTCACTAACACCACCTGCCTCGTGCCTCGTGTGGGCGCGCCTCATCGAGAATGAGATACCACACGGTAAAAGGCTTCATTGATGCTGGGGCTTCCCACCACCAAGCTCATCGCGCATCTGGGTGGCATCTGGGCTCACCACTCCCTCATGAGCTCAACAGAAACATCTTGCCGCTTTTTCCCGAAAGCATTGCGAAGGGCTTTTCCGGTAAAATCGGTGCGTTCTGCACAGCTGAAGTGCATAGGACAAGTAGACATTAATTGCATAGGGGCATGCATAGGAAGAGTGCCGAGTGAGTGCAAAGGGGCATGCATAGGAAGAGTGCTGAATGAGTGCGTAGGGACATGCATAGGAAGAGCGCAAAGCGAATGCATAGGTGCATGCATAGGAAGAGTGCCGAGTGAGTGCAAAGAGGCATGCATAGGAAGAGTGCTGAATGAGTGCATGCATAGGAAGAGCGCAAAGCGAATGCATAGGTGCATGCATAGGAAGAGTGCAGCATGAGTGCATTGAGGCGTGCGTAGGAAGAGTGCTGAGTGAAAGCGTAGGGGCATGCATAGGAAGAGTGCTGAGTGAGTGCATAGGGGCATGCATAGGAAGAATGCTGACTGAGTGCGTAGGGGCATGCGTAGGAAGAGTGCTGGGTGAGTGCATAGGGGCATGCATAGGAAGAGTGCTGAGTGAGTGCATAGGGGCATGCATAGGAAGAGCGCTGAATGAGTGCGCAGGGGCATGCATAGGAAGAGCGCAAAGCGAATGCATAGGTGCGTGCATAGGAAGAGTGCAGAGTGGGTGCATTGAGGCGTGCATAGGAAGAGTGCTGAGTGAAAGCGTAGGGGCATGCATAGGAAGAGTGTTGAGTGAGTGCATAGGGGCATGCGTAGGAAGAATGCTGAGTGAGTGCGTAGGGGCATGCATAGGAAGAGTGCTGAGTGAGTGCATAGGGGCATGCATAGGAAGAATGCTGACTGAGTGCGTAGGGGCATGCGTAGGAAGAGTGCTGGGTGAGTGCGTAGGGGCATGCATAGGAAGAGTGCTGAGTGAGTGCATAGGGGCATGCATAGGAAGAGTGCCGAGTGAGCGCATAGGGGCATGAATAGGAAGAGGGGCATGCATAGGAAGAGTGCTGAGTGAGGGCATGCATAGGAAGAGTGCCGAGTGAGTGCGTAAGGGCATGCGTAGGAAGAGTGCATAGCGAATGCATAGCGAATGCATAGGGGCATGCATAGGAAGAGTGCTGAGTGAGTGCGTAGGGGCATGCATAGGAAGAGTGCTGAGTGAGCGCATAAGGGCATGCAAAGGAAGAGTGCTGAGTGAGCGCATAGGGACACGCATAGGAAGAGTGCTGAGTGAGTGCGTAGGGGCATGCGTAGGGAAGGTGCAGAGTAAACTCGCAGAGATCTTGCATGCCTTCTTGCCTGCTTTTTGAACTTTGTTGTCACTGTCCTATTCAGGTGTTGACGGGCGAGGTGTTTTGACCACAGGAAGTCTTCAGCGCGCTTGCCGTCTTGCTGGGGTGCAATGGCGCGTGGGCCATTCACCTCTGCTCGGGTGACAATAATGAGCTGGCGTCTGCGTTCAAAAGCTTGCCGGGTGAGCTCAATCAATGCATTGCCGTCACCCTGCAGCCCACCATCGAAAGCATTGTCGAAGAAAATGCGCGTGCAAATGCCATGACTTGCAAGCTGTCTGAAAAAACGAGCGCGCAACTTTGAGTGCAAGGGATGTGTCTGAAACCCGGAAAAAACTTTGAGGCTCTGCCCAAGCTCTCCCTGCAGTACCACCATCACGCAGGACTCGCTTGCGTTGGACTTCAACACAGACTTCTGAAAAGCTCTGCGGCTTTTGCGTCAACTTCTCGCTTATCTTTTCCGACGTAAAATGCGGAACGCATGGCTTTTATACGCACATAAGCTGTTGTTCCAGTTGCTGGCTTTAATGCATCACTGTGTCTTTCGTATAATGTGCTGCGAATCACGCGCCGCATGATCAGGTGTACACTCAGGTGCCGTGGCCCCTGGCCCAAATCACCCCGCAGTGGGACTTTGCTTCGCCCACTGGCTACGCAGAGCATTGAAAGGTGCGCTGGCGCTTTGGTGCTCTACCTTGTCTTCAGCCTGGGGCTTCGTGGGCCCTGGCAACGAAGTGATATTGGCAGAGGAGCCGCTCTTCGGCATCCAGACTGCGGGTCACTTTGGCATCCTCGGCAGAACCGGCAGTGCAGCAACCTCCCGGACAGCGACCTAGGTATCTTCATGGCATCCTCCTCCCCTTCACAAAGCTCTATGAGCCCCCCGTCCACGGATGTGGCCACTACAAGGGATAGCTGCGTTCCCCTGTTCAGCGGTCAACCCAATGACTTCCGAAAGTGGCGGAAGAGGATAGCTTTGTACAACAAGAAGATGGTGGTAACGAAGAGAGAGAAGGAGGCGGTCTAAAGGAGCCGGTCTACAACCTCCTCGGCTCTCTCACCGACACCGCCTGGAAAGTTGTGGAACAGCTGGAGGATGCCCAGATCGAGGCCGATGACACCTTCGAGAAGATCCTGAAGTTGCTGGACCAGTCCTTCCAGTACGTGCGGAGCTGACGTCTGATTCAGATGGCTACTTCAACTAGGTTCAGCGCCGGGCAGGTCAGACCCTCCTGAGCTATGTCACAGAGCACGACGAGGCCCTGCGCACAGTTGCCAAGCACAGTGTTGACCTCCCCTCCACAATTGTTGGCTGGCATCTTCTTCGGCGTGCCAGCCTTACCCGTGAACAGGTACGCCTCATCACCGCCCACGCCAACAAGGCCACGGACCGCGACACCACCGTCAAGGCCTTCTACTACATCCTTGGTCAAGACTACAAGCGCCCCGGCCACAAGCACAACACCTACGATCGGTTCGAGGACGCTGCCAGCAGCATGGTTATTGGGCCGATGATGGCACCTACGAGGACTAGAAGGGCTTTGCCGACTCGCCCGAGGAGGATCCTATGTACTACCAGCACGATGAATACTGGGAAGAGCAAGATTAGCCCGAGGAGTACTGCGACCCCGCCCTACGAAGCTGATGAAATTGGAGACTGCACCTACATGAGCGCCGATCCTGCCTCTTGGGCAGTTGAGGAGTATGATCAGGTCCACAGCGCCGACGTGGACGCCAGCAAGAGGTTTCAGGAGCTTCGCCTGTCGCGTGGTTTTCTTCCTGTAGTAGTTGCTCTTCGGGAAGGACAACAAGGTGAACCAGCTGTTGCTTCCGGACACTCCAAAGCTCAAGGACGAGGAAAACGTCCGGTGGCAAGCCTTCGAGCAAGGGCAAGCCTTCACAGGCCAAGTCCCGAGCTGCGAGTGCAACGCAGTGCATACGCTGCGGTGGATCTGGCCATTGGGCCAGCGCATGCCCTCCACCACAAGCAGCTTCGTTCCGTTCTACGCCCAATCCGAACAAGCGCCCCGCCATCGAGGATGGATCCTCGATGATGGCCAACCTGCTGATCGACCAGTTCGGGTCCGAACGGCCGGATGCTGTCATGTTGGATCCTGGAGCATCGTCCTGCTTGGCTGGCTACCAGACCTTTCTCGCCTGTGTCTCCCACCTCGAGTTCATCGGCTACCACATTGACCAGATCCAGTTCAGCCGCTGCGCCAAGGACTTTCGCTTTGGAGGTGACCATTCCGGTCGAAGCACATGGGCGGTCCGCATCCCCATCTTCCTGAACAACAAGTATGGCGTTGCTGATTGCTTCCTGCTGCCCGGACACACCCCAATGCTTCTTGGAAGACCTGTGATGGAGCTCCAGGCACCCAGCTGGACTTTGCCAACGCCGCAGCTGCTCGTTCGTCTGCATCCGTCAGCCTTGTCTGACTGCGAGCGCAGACGTTCGCATCTGCCTGAAATCGAACTTTTGCGTGAATGCCCAGAGCTACGCGCTGGTTCCATGATGCACGGACTCCAGCATTTCAGGCTTGCGCACGGCAGCAACCATCTTGCTCCATAGCGTGCTTCTGAGACCCCGGCACCCAAGACGACGCCATGCCGCAGCAGAAACCGCTGATGCTGTTGCAATTCTTCAGCGGTCTCTGGTAGACAAGCAGTTTCGACCGCGGCCCGGACAGCGCTGCCCGCAGCCACTCCAGCGCGCGCAAGCACACTCCTGCGGCTGCCTGCAGGGACGGAGCCGTCGCCGGGCACGGCCAGCGGCTCACCGCCTGCTCAGCGAGCGATTGCAGTTGCTTCTGCCACGCATCACCGAAACTACGTCCTAGCAACCTCGCTGGACAACATGCTGCGGCCTGGCGTTTGCGGCTGCTGGCTGTCGAATGTTGCCGATGTTTGTTCATTTTCCTCTTACACTGGACGGCTCCCTAGAGCTGCTATGCTTATGGTGACCTGCAACTTTCCTGTCTTGAACCACCCGTCGCTCTGAGCAGCACAGCGCAATCACAGTGAGCATAAGGAAGAGGAGAGAAGGGAAGAGGAGAAAAGGAAACAGGACGAAACAGAAGTGAAGGGAAGCGAAAAACTGGCAGCATCGGCTTTGCTCAGTGGGATTGTTTTAATCTGCACAGCTGTCGGGCGAATCTGAACTTGAGCTAGAGGAAGATTTGTTCTGATTGCGGCTGGCCAATTCACGTCAAGGAAACGTATAAACAGAATGCGTGCGCGTGAACCCCTGATGGGCTTGGGGAGGTTCCGTGAATGTTTCGGTATTGTTCGGGGTCGCGTGCATACACGCACACACGTGCACGCGCGCGCCAGGAGGCACAAGCCTTTTCGGCTTTACTTCGCAACTTGGGAGGACAAACATGTACAGCGACACCTATCTACCCACCCACCCACACACACACATACCCACACGCGCACACACGCACGCCCGGCACAGGCACGCACGCGCAAATATACACCACATGCGCGCGCTCGCGCTCGCCGACTGCGCTTGCGCGCGCGCTCTTGCTCAAGCGCGCATCCGGACGCACGCGCGCGCTCGCACACACGCACACGCGCACGCACACGGGCACGCACACGCACACGCACACACTCGATTCCTTATCAACTCAGGCTCCCTCGTCGAAATGCTGGACTGCGGAAAACGGATTGGGCCAACGCCCCGCATTTGCCATTCTTGGCAAGAACAAAACAACGAAACAACAGCTCCTTTTGAGGGGACCAGGGGTACGCAGGTACGTCCGGAAGCATCCCTCCGGATGTCAGCGCATTGCCTTGACCCTGTTCGTTGGGCCGTCGATCAAGGCATGCGGACGGCCCCCCTGCCTTCTCTGAGCTTCCCTTCTGAACAGGGTTTCCACACACACACAGCCCCCAGCAATGCTGGGGGCGTCTGATCCAAAACAGCATACCCAAGGTGCAAAGGGAACCACAGCGAAAAACCAAAGGAACAGAGTGAGAAAAAGAAGGGTAAGGTAATGCGGGGCTCTCAGGGGCTTGCTGTAGGCAAAGCAGCTAAAGAGGTTGGAGGGCTGCCCGCTTGTTCTTGGCCTCCTGAACCGTCTTCCCCGCGCGGCGGGCGACCACTGCCCAGCTGGGACGCGCCTTGGGGTCTTGCTTGGACTGCACGAGGGTGGTGATCTGCTCAGTTGTCCACTTGCCCACCTCTTGAGCAGGGGCATCCTCCTCGTCCGCATCCGCAGGCTCAAGAGGGGGAGCTGCAGCAGGTTCCGCAGCTGCACGGGCCGATGCTGGCACGTCTGCGGGGCTGTCGGAGTCCGGATGTGGAAGGCTCCAATCATCACCAGGCGCTGCTTCTGGAGGGCTGCCAGGCACCGTAGGCGAGGAAGCGAAGAGGGCCTCGCGGTCGGAGTCCGTAGGCCCTGCAGACTCGATAGACCTTGCTCGCTTCTTGCTACTGATCTTGGGCTTGATGCACTCCGCCTTGGCCTTGACTGGGTTGTGTTTAAGGCTCGGTCTTTTTGGTCTTTTTTGTTGGCCCAAAAGGAGGCCGAAAAAACAAGCCAACTTTGTCATGATTTTGAGTGTGGAATTTCTGTTAGCCCGCCCTTTTTTGAGTACACGATTTTGTTGGCAATTCCAATGTTTTGCGCCACCAGCCGTGTGAAGCAAGTGCCTGTTCCAGGGTCACCCTAAATGACGCGAGCGCTCACACCTTTTTTCCAAGGGTCCATAGCGCCACGACTAAGACTGTGTCACAAACTAATTTAATTGTATAAGTTGCCTGTGCTTGCACAGGCAAACTGGCTCCAACAGCCGGACTCATGGGCTGCTAAGACCGAAGAAGAAAGTTCCCGAGGTGGAAGCGCGAACGACCGAGGACTTACAGCATCATCCTCAAGGTATCGGAGGGTATCCTGTTGTGATCTTGTTGCTGTTCTGCGCCGATGCCAGCTCAATGGACGTGGAATAGAGAAGGAAAGCAACTTCAATCGTAACCGTAGCTGCCGGCGCTGTTCAAAGGCTTTCAAGGCCACGCGGAAGCGGTAGAACACACCTTCCCACGCCCTCTTGCCAGCATTGACAATGACATCCCATGCAGGAACAGCAATGACATCAAGATCAGCAAGTTGTAATCCGGTTTTGTCAATGGTTTGCTGGAGCACTCTGGCGCGTTTCTGACACGCCCGCAAGGAAGCCATAGTCATGCCAGTTGCTGCAGGCGTACTTGCAGTCTGCGCTCGAGCCGCATCAAGGGTACCAAGCACAGGAGAACTTAATGACGACCTCATGGCCTTCCACGAACAAGCAGGAATCTCTGCCAACCATGCCCTGTTGTTGAGTACGCCTATTGTTTCAGTTTTTTTCAACATACACACGCTGTTATTATTGATGTCAACGGGCGCCTGGCACGCCTTTTTTCCGCGCCGGGCTAGCCAAGCACTGCAAAACATGAAAACAGTCTTCCTAAAAGCATCTGCGCGGGCGCAGCTGCTTCGTTGGGCTCAGCGTTTTTGCACAGGCGCAGCTGGCTCATTGAGCTCAGCTTGTCTGCGGCAAACTCCGTCCAATTCTTCCGCAACCTTGTCCTGTTCGCGCTCCACGTCCTCATCTGCATCGCAAGAGATTTGGAATGACAGGTTATTGATGATATTGGACGCTGTGTGAAGTTTGTTCAGGAAGTCGGGCTCGTCGTCCTGCGGCGCCAAGAGCGCATCCGCCCGGTGTCCAAAGACCACGTGAAAATCCCGGATTTTCGTCTCTGCCTTGTCAGCTGCCTCCACAGAACGGCGCAGCAGGTCATGAATTTCCTTCAGAGCCATTCGGAGATCTTTGAGAATACCGAGCCGCAGAGTCAGTTCACGGTGGCGCTCCTGAAGGTCCTCCAACTCTGTCTTGGCATTGACCGAATCCATGGGCGGTGAGCAAACACAAGTCGTAAATTCTTGTGATCAAACTTGCGCTGCGGGGGGGGGGGGCATTGTTTTGGGGTTGTTTTAAGGTTTCTGCGGATACCAGTTGCTGGGGCATTGCATTGATTTCTCAATCATATTTTTCTGCAGGCCTCACAGCTGCGGTTCTGACAGCTGGCCAATCCTGAAAGTCGACTTGCCGAGTTGCAAGGTTGTTGCCGGAGTTAGATGATTATTTATTGCGGAGCTTTGAGTGGGCCCAGGGATGCTCCCGGTAAATCAAGTTCTAGGATTGTGCCCTATGCCACATAGAATGGCAAAACTAGTTTGGGGGCCTTGTTTTTTTGGTATCTCGGGGCCTTTCATTCAAGATTGCCCCAAGGTGGCGAATAAACAAGTGCAAGACCGGGCAGCAACGCGGTTTTATCGAAGCTGGCGCCGCAATGGCAAGTGAGCTGCTCCCCATGTTGTCGAGCACAACTATGCAAAAACAAACACAACATTTAAAGTTCAATGTTGAGTCTCCTAGCATACTTTTGCTCGGTGGACCTGGCCACCAAGCCCCTAAGATGGCCTGAGTCGCCCTCTCAGTTTCCACCCGGCAGCTCCATCGCCAAACAACACCTTTAGCAAAAGATTTCGTGCGGCGGCAGCGCACTATCCAGGACAGTGAGAATGTCCTCAGGCGCCGCTCGGTTACTGAACTCCTCAGAAGGGCGGTCCGAGCCCTGGGCCTGGGGATCTTTGTTCTTCTTGTTCTTCTTGTTCTTCTTGTGCTTCTTCAGCTTGCTGATGGATTTCATGGGCTTCTTGTCCTCAGTCTTCTTGTTCTTGACCTTCCTGCCCTTGACCTGCATGTTCTTGCCCTTCTTGTCTTCGGCAGGCGGAATCTGGTTGTCGTTGATGCTTTTGAAGAGGTCCTCGAAAGCTGTGGACGCTGGCGTGGAGGGTCTTGTCGACGTTGCCGATGCTTCTGAAGAACAGGCGGTCTCGCCATCCGGACTGAAGTGCCCCCAAGTCAACGTGGACGCATCGCTGTCACCGTCCTCTTCCTTGGGCTTGCGGGGAGGGAAGCCACCCAGACTGTCATAGATGGTCATGTCCCACGTTGCCTGGATGTGGAGTTTATCGTTTCTGCAGAACGTGTAGGACACGGTGGCCCCTCCCTTCTTCGTCGCCGCGAAGCTCCCTCCTAGCCCGCTTCGATTGAAGGCCACCTTCATCTTGACGTCATACTTTGGTAGGTTGACCGTGTAGCCATGGTTGCCCATAGGCGGTAAGTCAGGGAAGCCTTCGAGCGTCATTTGCCGCATGATCGGGTAGTACTTGGGCAAGAGGTTGCCCCAACCAGGAACTCTCACTTCCGTGGACTTCTCCCAGCGCCGCGCGGCCTCGCAGCGCTGGGGATCCCAAGGGTCGTCGTTCTGCGCCTTCCTGATCGTTCTGATCGGCATGGCAGCAACAGGGAACAAGCTACTGTGCTAAGGATATGGAGCTCTGCGCAAGCACAGGGCCACCTGTCGCCCAATGTTGAGTCTGAGAAAAATCTTCAGAGATGGCAAGCGGAATGTACCCCCAATGGGAGCCAAGCAAGCAACCGTTTAGCCAGCCAGCCAGCCCGGACAAGTTCAAATGTCAATTTGTATTGTTTTCCAATTCTGGTCTGCAATCAAAACTCTTGAAACTTGAAACCTCAGGTGTCCATCGCGTCGTCATCGGTGCCGGTGCCCTTGTCAAGCATGTTGGACGTGTCGTATGGGTTGGGTAAGTGCTTAGCTTCGGCGGGGCTCGTCGCATGGAACCACACAAGGTTGCCAGTGAAATAGTCCATGGGCATGATCTTGTCCAACATGTCCACATCTCCGGCGACGACACACTCAACGGCTTTCTCCGGAGTGGCTTCATCACCCATGTCAACCACGATCAAACGAGGCATCGGCCAGCGCGACTCTTCCACCGGGCACCTTTGAACGTCGTAGATCACGAACCGGAGGTGTCGCATCTTGACAGCCAGGTCTCTGATTGCATTGCCGATGCCTCGCTCCATGAGGAATATGTGATCCCCTAGCACGTGTTCCCAATTCCAGAGCAGGAACGCGAACATCTCTTTCCATCCACGCCTGCAGCGGCCTTCCACCAGAATATTTTTCTTGATATGCTCATCGCTGTTCGGATGGATGATGAGAATCCAAGACTTGAAGTCTTCCATTGACTTCGGGACGTTCTCCTTGTTCTCGAACAATGTCACGATTCGGGAGAAAACCTTGTCGTGCGCCTTGTAGTAGAGGGGCAGGAAGCTTGAGGCCCATGCGATGACTGCCACCGAGTCACCAAGGTTGAGCTCATCATACTTAGGCACGTGTAAGTGGCGCATCGGTAGCAGTTCTGTGCCAGCACAGCCTGCTCAGGCTCAGGGCAGGGAACCTCGCTTGCTTGCTCGGCTGAAACACAGTTGCGGCATGCACTCCAAATACCTCCAAACTCGGAAATCTTTGACTACATCAACCCTATTGTCCGCGTTTGACAGGGACCAACGACTCAGCTCAAGCGCTGCTGTTTTTTCGCCTGCATGCCGCAATGGTCACCGCAATAGTCAAAACACAGAACAAGGCATCTGTGCCAGCACAGTCGCACTTCAGTTCACATCATCCGGCCCAGTTGATGCCTTGTATGTTTCCATTCGCGCCCGGCAGTCTTTGCAGCCTGCTTTGGAGCCACTGCACTTGCTGCAGCCGAGGATGCCAGCCTTCAGCCTGTCACTGACGGTTGCATACTCTCCCATCCAAGGCCACTTTGTTCCATATCGCCGTTTGGCTTTGGGCGAGCCCTTTGCTTTGGCCTTTGCTTTGGCCTTTGCTTTGGCCTTTGCTTTGGCCTTTGCTTTGGGCGAGCGATGAGGTCCCTTGGGCGTGAATTTGGGCAAGCTCTTGGCTTTTGCTTTGGTCTTACCTTTGGGTTTGCCTTTTGGTTCCTGGTGGTGGTGTTTTTTTGTATCATCCAGGACACTGCCTTCTCATCATTCTGCTCGTCGTCAGAAGCAATGGAGCTGTGGAACAAGCAATACAGTCAGTCAGGACCCAAGCCAATACAATCTTGTCTGACCTGGAGGCATCGGCAGGTGTGCGTGTGAGAACGGATTCAGCATTGCACTGTTGGAGTTGGAAACATGCAGTGTTTATTCTCAACAGATTTCGTGCAATTTCTGGAGTCACCCCGTACGAGGCAGTGCAGGGAAGCAGGTACTCTGGAAAAGTGGTGAAGTTCGGTGAGACGGTCATGGCCAGAATCAAGCAGCAGAAAGGAGAACCCAGATTTGTCGCTGGAGTGTGGTTGACGAAGTGCGGCTTTCAGGATCTGCATTTAGTGTCAACAGACAGTGGTGAGTTGCTTCTCACCAGAACAATGGGGGAACACTGATTTGGACCCCATTTTCAGAGCCAAAAAAACGACTCCATTTTTAGAACCCGAAACCTGACCGACAGAGGGTCACCTTGGGGACTTACCGCTGACCACTGGGGCTGACAGAGGGTCACCCTGGGGACCATTGGGGCTGACAGAGTGTCACCCTAAAGATGTGCCAGATCTTTTGATAGAAGTGTTGTTGGAGCATATCGTCGAGATTTTCCAGTTAAAGTGTATATTTCCTGCTTATTTGGCCATGCGACAAGCTCAGATTTGCTTTGAAAGGGTATTTTTGAGCGCGCGCCCCGGAATGCAAATTGATGACAGAGAAAAAAACATTCTGATCTCTTGAGGGTGGTTTGCGCTGCGCACCACTGGCCTTGTATGCATGCTCCTGGTGCCCTATATGCCTACTTATGTGTGTACTTTCTCCACCCAACAGGTTTGCTTTTTTCCCATAGCGCGGTAGTTATTCAGAAAAAAATGCAAAATGATGTTGAAAGATTGTAAATGTGTTTTTTAACGTGAAAAAGTGTCACTTGAATCTGACAAAGCATGTATGCAGAAGTGTCACTTTGATTGAAAAACTTGCATTACTAAGTGCTCATTCTTTCATTTGGTGCTGCTCCTTCATTGCTCATTCTCTCGTTTGATGCTGCTCCTTCATTGCACATTGACGCTGCTTCTTCGTTGCTCTCTTCTTCCTTTCTTGCTGTACAAAATCCTTCCCCTCCTTCTTGTTCCCTTGCTCTTTCCCTGTTGCGTCCTGCTCCTCTTTTCCTTGCTCTTTCCTTCTTCCTTCCTCTTTTTCTCTTTTTCCTCTTCCCTTTGCCACTTCTTTTTCCTTTCTCTTTTCTTCTTTCTTTCTCTTGTTTTCTTTTTCCCTTGCTCTTTCTTTTTCCCTTCCCTTTTTTCCTTGCTCTTCTCCATCTTTCTTTCACCTTGCACTGGCTTCTTTCTTTCTTGTTTTTTTTCTTTCCCTGCTTCTTTTTTTTCTTTCTTTTCAGAGCTTTAGCTTGCAACCTTTAAGGTTTGAGGGTTGTAGCTTTGCAGTGCTGCAGGGTCAACCTTCCAGAGAACCTTTAAGGGTTGAGGGTTGCAACTTTGCAGGGCTGCAGGGTCCTTCCAGAGCTTGAGGTTGCAACCTTTGGGGTGGAGGGTTGCAATTTTGCAGGGCTGTAGGGTCAACCTTGCAGAGCTTTAGGTTGCAACCTTTGAGGGTTGCAGGTTGCAACCTTTGAGGTTTGAGGGTTGCAGCTTTGCAGAGCAACCTTCCAGCTCTTTAGGCTGAAAGGGTTGCAGCTTTGCAGGGCTGCAGGGTCAACCTTCCAGAGCTTTAGGCTGCAACTACCTTTGCATCCTGCAGAGAGAGAGAAAGAAAAGAGAGAACGCAAAATTGAACAGGGAAGAGGAGGAGCGAAGAGACAAAGGGTTGCTCACAACAGAGGGAACCGAGAAAACAGATGATTGAACAGAACAGAGCAAACAGAGGGAACAGAGGGAAGAGAGGATTGAACAGAACAGAGAGAGAGAGAGAGTAGAGAGAATAAAGAGAGTAGAGGGGACAGAGACTTGAAGAGATAGTGTGTGTGTGTGTGTTTGTGTCTGTGTGTGTTTGTGTCTGTGTGTGAGTTGTGTCTGTGTGTGAGTTGTGTGTGTGATGCGTCTGTGTCTGTGTCTGTGTATGAGTTGTGTGTGTGTGTGTCTGTGTGTGTGCTGTGTTTGTGTGTGTGTCTCTGTGAGGGAACAGAAGAATGAAAAAACAGCAAACAGAGAGGGAACAAAGGATTGAACAGAACAAAGAGAACAGAGGGAAAAGAGGACTGAACCTCTTTCAAGTTTTTTTTGAAGAAACCTTGTTGAGTGCTGGGTTCTTGTCTAAGAAAATTGCTGTGCCATTGCTGGTCTTGCTTTGTGTTTGGTGTTTGGTAAGTGTTGTTAGCCTTTGGCAGAAGCGAACTTTGAATTGCCAGACGCATGGTTCAAAACATGGAGTCGTTTTTTGGTTTTGAAAATGGGGTCCAAATCAGCGTTCCCCCACAGTATGCGACCGGCTGCCAGCAGTTGACGTTTTCCGGGAAGTTGATGCGAGGAAGATTCTGGAAGAAACAGTGTTTAAAGAAAAGAAAGCGTTACTTCTTTGATGCGCAACATTTTGCAGCGGTTTGAGATCAGGTATTTTGCTGTCTCGCTATTATTGCGTCTGCAATGTGTGGCGGCTGGATCCACACAAATGTTTGTTATGTTATAGTTGTTTATTTGCATTTTGGCGCAATTGGGTACCAGGTTTCGATGCCGTTTTTGCTTCTTTTGTGGTTCCATTTTTGGGTCTAAATGTGGTTCCAAATCTGGAACCTGTCCTTTTAGTTTACTCAAGCGGGTTCCACTTTTGGAGCCAAAAGTGGCCCTGTTTTTGGAGCCAGGCAACCAGGTTTTTGGCAGCGGATTCGGCGCCGCCGCCGTGTAGCGAGTCGCGCTGGAAAAGCGGTGTTACTGATTAATCTGGACGAGACTAACATACCATATACTCTGGAGCCTTGAGTTGGCGCAGTTGCAGACGAAGTCGAGTCTTCGTTGCTGGCGCGCAAGAAAGATTATCGAGGGTCTGCAGCGCTCGTTGCAGTTATTTGTGACAATGAGCCCTATACAGTGATCATGATAGACTAGCGGCGCACAGCGTGACGAAACAGAACTGCGCGAAGAGTCTCGAGACCTTGGGACAAAGAGATGCTGAACACGGTGCAACAGTTTTCCTGGCAACATCCGGGATTGGTGGCAAGTTGCACAATGGCCCTTAAGAAGACGAGAAGTCCATTTTCGGTGGAGTCCTACTTCACCGAGATTGATGATGGAACGATGTTGAGTGATTTTCTGCGTGCACAGGCTGCAGAAACTCCAGAACTGCAAGACAGAGAGCCAGTTGTGATTCCGAGACAGACAGATGAGCCCGGCATTGAACCACAGACACCTGTGGTGATTCCAGAGCGTGCTTTGGAAGATGAGAGAAGTGGAGGCGCCGCTGAGGCAGGGCGACATGAAAGCGCCCAGCCCGGGCACAGCGCAGGGCGACATGGAGGCGCCCAACATGAAGCGCAGGCGGGGACAACTCAGAAGTCCCAAACAAGTGGAAGTGAAGGAAGTGCAGCCAAGAAGGTGCGTACGGATGGACCGGCGGAAGACATTCCCATGCAGTTGGAGCCATCCAGCACCTCGGCCAAAACTTCCAGAGATCCTCATTCAGGGGATGCGAGTGATGAGCGGTTTTGCTCCTTGCCTTTCGGCCAGCAAGGTGGAGAATTGCTTCAGTCTTGGCACGGCTCATGTTGCCATAAGATTCAAAGATGTCAACACACAGTCTGACCACATGCGGCAGCTTCTCAAACAAAACACCTGGATCCTGATCATCAATAGCAACGAGGACGTCATCGATCCAGCAGACTGGATGAAAAGGCTCAGGTGCAGCATTAGGGCGCAAATGCAAGTTTGTGCAAAACCCACCTTCTTTCAAAGCTTCCCAGAGCTCCTGAGCAACTGAGAACATAATCAGGTTGAAAGTCAAATCTGCGAGTGGCATGCCTGGCCTGGTGCCAAGACATGCCAGCGCATGCTGATCCGTGAAAGCTGTGCGATACCAGGTGCCAACCTGCCACTTGACAAACCTCTTGACGAGATTTTGCGGCAGTCCTTTCAAGTAGCTGCACGGCCCTAGACAACTGAAAAGACATATTTTGTCCAGCCAGTCCTTCGGTGGTTGTACGAGGGACTTCAAGAAGAAGGATTGGAAACTTGGTGAGGTTGTCGGGAAAGTCCTTGAGCTTCTCGCGCACTCGGCGCATCATCTCTTTGAACAGACCACTGTTCTCCACTTTAAGTTCCTCGTACATCGTCACTTCCCAATCGGCACTTTTGATGGTGAATCGCGCAACACCTCGCGCCCCTCGCAAGGCCTCTTCTGTTGCCACCGACTTGCCTGACTGGCAGCGACCACCAATGATGGTCGCATGTTGTTGCCAGCTCGCAATGCGTTGCCGGAGAGTTTCCATCACTGGCCTTTGGATGACCTCGTCTTGCGGCCTGTCTGGGTTCAAAAGGCTCCATGGCCCTTGCCAGCGCTTCTTGGATTTTGCCTTCTGGAGAGGCTTTGAACGCCTCGTCGGCAGAACGCTTTGCTTCATCGGCGGAGCGCTTTGCTTCATCGGCGGACTTCACTGCATCCACCAGTTGCCCAAATGTGAAGGTGGACTTAGCTGCAGTTGCCACGCTAATGAAGAAGTCGCGGTTTCGCCCAACGTCGTCAACGAATTGTTGAAAATCCAGCCCCGACGTGTCAGAGGCATAGGCTGGGGCTACCATGATGCATGAGCCAACCACATGCCCAACGAGGCGTGCCCCAAGGTGTGGTGTGCATCTCACTGGCACCGCCTCCAAATGACATAGCCATCTGCAAGACCAAAACATGAAACATCACACTGGCCTTTTCTTAAACACAAACTCATAATCACAAAAGTTAGGAACCAAGTTAACATGATTTTCAAGTCCTTGCCTTGCCCTGTGGTGGTGGCACAAAGGCTCCCATCAACTTCATCAGACTGAAGCCACCGACCAGCACCATCCATGGCTTGACACGCACTTGGTGCCTTCGGTTCATGGCTACAACAAGGAGTGTGCCAACACCACTCCGTGCAGTTTTACTCCATCATCTGTTTTTTTAGTATTGTAAACATTATTTTTTCACATTGCCTAGGTTGGCTGAGTTTTGGTGCGGTTTCTTGTTGTAGGCTTCTGTGCTGAATCTATGCATATGCTTCGGTACAGGGGTATAGTATTGAACTGGGGGTTGAGGCTCTTTCTGGTCTTTCAGAAGTCATGATCCTCGCGAACCTCATGTCACGACTCACCTGGCCGAAAAAAAACAGCAGCCAAGCTGCAAAGACTCCAAGGTCCATGTCGGGCTTCATTGCGCGCGAAACTCCAGGATCTGCTTCGTGGACAAGGCCTTGAAGAAAGCCACGAGCTGGGGGACACAACTCACAGCCCTTCTTGTTCATCTTCAGAACCAAAAAAACACGAAAAAAAAGGTAAAGCGAATCAAACGCAAACACACCCGATTTCGGAAATGTTGAAGTGCAGGTGCATGGATTTGGCTCAGCATGCCAGAATCGTCTATCCTTGAATGGGATTTCAAAATACACCATCTCACATAGCTGATACATCTGATACTATGCGTGCGTTGTGTTTACGGGGCTGGAACAAATGCACAAGCAAGAACGAGCTGAAGTCTTCCGTCCATTTTCGCAAAAGATCGGTCATGGCTTTGCCAATTGCGCTTCAGCGGCCTCCTTATGCAATTTGGAAGCAAAAAAGAAGCGCTTCTTGATAGGGTGAAAATACACAGCATGACAACTCTTGTTGCGAATTAGCGCGGCAAGCTCCCTTGGAAGGATGCGGATGCCATTTACAACATTCAAAATACCTGCCGGATAAGCCGTCAGGAGCTCTTTCACCATCTCGCGCCCCGTGACCTTGGGGTGCACTTGAAGCTCCATGAAGCCTCGCACTTCATCATCAGCAACTCGCTGACATTCTTGCTTCGTGTCGTCCAATGACATTCCTTTCCTTAGTTCAACAGATACACAACACATATCCCTGAGAGGTTTTGAACACCGAAAAAGTAAATCATCATCCGTTCAAGCCAGGCGCTTCAGATTCTCACAGGCCTTCACCAAGTCGCCAATCCGCAAGCCACCTGAAATGAACTCTGGTCAAAGTCCGCCCAAACAAAAACTCGAACGGGGCAAACACACCTTAATCAATCAACATGTTGTTGAATTGAGCCGAAACACAAGCATCCACGAAGTCTTTCCAATTCTTCTCATGCCCATGCAGTGCCAAAAACTCCTTCGTTTCTTCCTCCGTCAAGTCAGCAACCCAAATGTCTTCCTGTCTTGCAGTTCCACCAGCATCGAAAGCCAGCGCCACTGCCGCCGAGGAGGCTGATACAATCACCTTGGACCAAGGATAAATAGACGTAACTACAGTCCCCGCAAAACGTTTTCTGTTTGAACCATTGGAACTTAGTCTTTCAGCTGGAGAGCATGTATGGCACAGCCGATTTTGTCCGTCGCCACATCCTTCGCTGTAGAAGAGACTCGGTCGATGCCTCGCCCATAGGAACCGGAACAAAATGACTCGGGTCAAATGCATTACAATATTTGAAAAAAAACTGCTGTCCACTCAGTCCTTCAATGGTTGTACGAGGGATGTCGAGGAGGAGAACGGGATACTTGGTGAGGTTGTTGGGGAAGTCCTTGAGCTTCTCGCGCACTCGCCGCATGACCTCTTTGAACAGCCCTTCGTCATCTACTCCCAGTTGCTTGCACATCCGATCTTTCCAATCGGCGCTCTCGATGCTGAATCGCACAACACCTCGCACCCCGCGCAAGGCTTCTTCTGTTGCCACCGACTTGCCGGACTGATAGCGACCACCAATGATGGTCGCATGTTGTCGCCAGCGCTCAACGCGTTTCTGGATAGTTCCCATCACTGGCCTTTTGATGACCTCGTCTTGCGGCCTGCTGGGTTCAAAAGGTTTCATGGCCTTTGCCACTGCTGCTCGGATTTTGCCCTCGGAAGAGGCTTTGAATGCCCGCACTGCCTGTGTTGTCGCTACAACAAGACCCGAAGCAGAAACAATGACTTGCCAGACCCTCACATCCAAAGCTCTGCAATGGGTCAGGCGTGGGCGCAAATCCTCTTTCACCTCGAGGGCAAAGATTGAGGAGTGAAAAATATACAATGCAATATAAAACCAAAAATATGCAAGAAGGTTTTTTCTGTCTGACCAAGTAGAAAAAATTACCAAACAGCAAAGTTTCAATGCTAGACCCAATAAATTGAGGACGCTCAATGAGGCCCCGCAGTCTCGCTGATGCCACCTGCGGATGAAAAAGAAACAAACTACACACTTTGCATGAATCCATTCAAGACACACCAAATTTAAAAAATGTCTTTATAACAGAATAATAAACGCAACCGTGTCTTGAAACTGCATTTCCATCCCCAACCTGCGGTGGTGGCACAAAGGCCCCCATCAACTTCACCAAAACAAAGACCAGCGCTATCCATGTCTTGATACGCACTCGGTGCCTCCGCTTCATGGCAAAACTATCCCCACACTCAAGTCCCGACTGCAGAAGAGCTCACACTATTCTAAGCTCAGCGCGTGATTTTGGTAAACTTGGTGTCTGATCTTGATTTTGGACGAAATCAAAAACATATTGCACAAGTCTTTGGAAATTCTGCATGCGTGCGTCCGCCCCGATGTCTTGCCACAAGCCGTTTTGAGCAAACTCTGCGGCATGGACGCTGTCAAGCTGGGCAAACGCGTCGTCAAGCAACCAACGAAGGCCTGAGAAGTAACTTGCAGAACCAAGACGGCGTTAAGGAAGGAGATTAAGAGATTACGTGAGGGCATCTAGCAAAGGAAAGGCTTAAAGGACAATGATATCAGGCAACGATATTTAGAGGATCGCTGCAAGTCCCATTTGCCTTGCATTCGGCCTTGCAAGAGAACTGCCTCGCAAGTTGATAGCGAAGGCCAGTCACTGAGAACACATTTGTTGCATGAACATGTCTAGCGCCCATTGCCCTGTGCCGCAACACTCTCACCCAAACAGCTTTGGTTTGTGTGGTGCCTGACAAGTGTCCTCTTCGTTGAAAAGACCCGATGTTGCTTCTTCAAGGCTAAGCCCTACGCAACAGACCTATCATCAGGTTTGCGCAGTGTTCGATTAACACCACCTGCCTCGTGTCCTCGTGTGGGCGGCGCCTCATCGAGAATGAGATAGCCACACGTGTAAAGGCTCATGATGCTGGGGCTCCATCCACCAAGCTCATCGCGCATCTGGGTGGCATCTGCGCTCACCACTCCCTCATGAGCTCAACAGAAACATCTTGCCGATTTTTGAACTCTGTTGTCACTGTCCTATTCAAGTGTTGACGGGCGAGGTGTTCCTGACCACAGGAAGTCTTCAGCGCGCTTGCCGCCTGGCTGGGGCGCAATGGCGCGCGGGCCACTCAGGTTGTCGATCTCCCTGTCGCCCTCCTCTGCTCGGGTGACAATAATGAGCTGGCGTCCGCGTTCAAAAGCTTGCCGGGTGAGCTCAATCAATGCATTGCCGTCACCCTGCAGCCCACCATCGAAAGCATTGTCGAAGAAAACGCGCGCGCCAATGCCATGACTTGCAAGCTGTCTGAAAAAAACGAGCGCGCAACCTTGAGTGCAAGGGATGTGGCTGAAACCCGGAAAAACTTTGAGGCTCTGCCCAAGCTCTCCCTGCAGTACCACCATCACGCAGGACTCGCTTGCGTTGGTTTTCAACACAGACTTCTGAAAAGCTCTGTGGCTTCTGCGGCAACTTCTCGCTTATCTTTTCCGACGCAAAATGCGGAACGCATGGCTTTTATCCGCACATAAGCTGTTGTTCCAGTTGCTGGCTTTAATGCATCACCGTGTCTTTCGTATAATATGTTGTGAATCACGCGCCGCGTGATCAGGTGTACACTCAGGCGCCGTGGCCCCTGGCCCAAATCACCCCACAGCGAGTGGGAGTTTGCCTCTTCGGCATCCAGACTGCGGGTCACTTTGGCATCCTCAGCAGAACCGGCAGTACGGCAACCTCCCGGACAGCGACCTAGGTATCTTCATGGCATCTTCCTCCCCTTCACAAAGCTCCATGAGCCTCCCGTCCACGGATGTGGCCACTACAAGGGATAGCTGCGTTCCCCTGTTCAGTGGTCAACCCAATGACTGCCGGGAGCGGCGGAAGAGGATAGCTTTGTACCACAAGAAGATGGTGGCACCGAAGAGAGAGAAGGAGGCGGTCTGTGGAGGCGGTCTACAACCTCCTTGGCTCTCTCACCGGCACCGCCCGGAAAGTTGTGGAACAGCTGGAGGACGCCCAGATCGAGGCCGATGACGCCTTCGAGAAGATCCTGAAGTTGCTGGACCAATCCTTCCAGTACGTGTGGAGCTGACGTCTGACTCTGATGGCTACTTCAACCAGGTTCAGCGCTTCCTGAGCTATGTCACCGAGCACGACGAGGCCCTGCGCAAGGTTGCCAAGCACGGTGTTGACCTCCCCTCCAGAATTGTTGGCTGGCATCTTCTTCGGCGTGCCAACCTTACCCGTGAACAGGTACGCTCATCACCGCCCACGCCAACAAGGCCACAGACCGCGACACCACCGTCAAGGCCTCCTACTACATCCTTGGTCAAGACTACAAGCGCCCCAACCACAAGCACAACACCTACGATCGGTTCGAAGACGCTGCCAGCAGCATGGTTATTGGGCCAATGATGACACCTACGAGGACCAGAAGGGCTTTGCCGACTGGCCCGAGGAGGATCCTATGTTATGTACTACCAGCACGATGAATACTGGGAAGAACAAGATTAGCCCGAGGAGTACTGTGACCCCGCCTTCTACGAAGCTGATGAAATTGGAGACTGCACCTACATGAGCGCTCTTGGGCAGTTGAGGAGTATGATCAGGTCCACAGCGCCGACGTGGACGCCAGCAAGAGGTTTCAGGAGCTGGAAGGTCAACCAGCTGTTGCTTCCGGACATTCCAAAGCTCAAGGACGAGGAAAACGTCCGGTGGCAAGCCTTCGAGCAAGGGCAAGCCTTCACAGGCCAAGTCCCGAGCTGCGAGCGCAACGCAATGCAAAGGCTGCGGTGGATCTGGCCATTGGGCCAGCACATGCCCTCCACCACAAGCAGCCTCGTTCCGTTCTACGCCCAATCCGAACAAGCGCCCCGCCATCGAGGATGGATCCGCGATGATGGCCAACCTGCTGATCGACCAGTTCGGACCCGAACGGCCGGATGCTGTCATGTTGGATCCTGGAGCATCGTCCTTCTTGGCTGGCTACCAGCTCGCCTATGTCTCCCACCTCGAGTTCATCGGCTACCCCATTGACCAGATCCAGTTCAGCCGCTGCGCCAAGGACTTGTGGCTTGGAGGTGACCATTCAGGCCGAAGCACATGGGTGGTCCGCATCCCCATCGAACAACAAGTATGGCGTCGCTGCTTCCTGCTGCCCGGACACACCCCAATGCTTCTTGGAAGACCTGTGATGGAGCTCCTGGGCATCCAGCTGGACTTTGCCAACAAACAAATTCGGCTTCCTGGTGGTCATTGGTGCCGACTAGAATGTGGTCGACAGGATGAATACCTTCTATTCATGACTGACTCTATGACCTGGAGTCTTGTCCCTAGCCGTTTTTTTGGCCTGGGGCAAAAAAAAGTTCTAAGAGCATGCAGCGATGAACCGTTTCGAATATGCAGCCCTTCTGATTCAAGAAGAAAAGGCGCGCAGCTCTGCACGCGAGGGTTATGAGCCCAACGCCCTGGGCTTTTTGGCCAGCCATGGCGGACGAGGAGGAGAGGCCACACCGCCCGACGAGGGCAACGACCTGGCTTTGGTCCCTGCGAAAACCCCGGTGGCACCTGCATCTGGCGGGTGGGGGCTCTCCGGTGGTCTACGGACCTGTGGGAAGGGGCTCATGCGATGTGAACCCCTTCTCAACCAGTCGACCAAGGAGGAGGTGATCCTTGGAGCGACGAGGCCGTCTTCGCTGCCTGAGCCCATCCCCACTGAGGCGGAGGTCCAGATCAGCCCACCTCGAGAGGGTCTGGATTGGGATCTTGCCCTGACAAGCCTCCGCAAGGAGATCATGGAGATCAAGGGCATGGCCGGTGGGGCGTGTGGCTTTGGAGGTCAACAGCCTGGACAACTTTTAGCTCTTCCTGGTCCTTCGGGCGAAAGTGGAGGTGGTGGTGAAGCACACCAGCATGGGCCTCCTGCTGTGCTTGCTGAAGGAGCGGCTGTCCATGGAAGGCACGAACCGGGAGCTCATGGAGGGCTAGATGGAATTGGAGCGGCAGGTGTTTTGGCGCTCCGTGGAGGAGCCATGCCTGAGGCAAGGGCTCTTTCTTCGGACTTTGAGGCTGCTTTGACGCCTCAACCTGCAGCTGCGGCTTTGGGTTTGGTTGGACATCAAGGCGGAGGTGGCCACCAACATGGTCCTCATCCTCAGGTACATCTGCAAGGAGCAGGAGGTGGTCTACAGGCGGGACAAGGTCAGGGCGTCAGCTGGTGGTGGTGTTCTGGTTTTGTTGGAGGGGTTCCTCAACAGGAAGTTGGAGGCAGACTCCATCTTGGACTTCTTCCTGGGGCTCCTCAGTTTGGGGCACATCAGCATGGGGTTGGTGGGTTTCATGCACAACAAGGAGCGCCAGCTCTGGGTCATCCTCTTCAAGGAGTGTGTGGTCACGGAGGTGGTTGTGGGCAGGGAGCTCAGCAAGACGGCCAGTGTGCAGTTGGCCAATTGTCCACTGGTGTGGGCGGAATAGGTGGTGGCGGAGCTCACGGGCCTTCTAGTATTCCGCATGGGGGAGGAAGAGCTCATTGGTGGATATGGAGGCGGTGCTCCCGGTGGTCCCCCTGGAGGTGGTGGCTATGGAGGGCATCATGGGCCTGGCGGAGGTGGTGTTCCTGGTGGTTGCCCTGGAGGTGGTGGTCATGGAGGGCCTTTTTCCATCCTGGTGGAGATCCACGGCGGTCCTCACGGAGGTGGTCTTGGTGGGCACGGTGGAGGGCAAGGCGGTGGGTCGTTTTGGGGTGTGCCTGGAGGAGCTGGTGGTGGACCGCCAGGAGGACCTCCCGGTGGCCCTGGTGGACCTGGTGGCAGCGGAGCTCAAATGGGACATCAAGGAGGTGGTTTCCAAGGGCTCCTAAGCAACCTCATGAGCCAGCAGGAGGTGGTCAGGTTGGTGGATCTTCCCACTTCAGGAGTTAGGAGTTGTCGGAGGCGGAGATCACGGGCTCTTCTGGGCGCCGCTGATTGCTGGTGATTGGTTGACGTTGGTTGGCCCCTACATGCGGGACATCAGCTCGACGAGCCACATGTGGTGGGATCAATGTGTTGCGATTGCTGGTGCGGCTTACCAGCAGTGGCTTCTGGCGGAGCCGATGGAGAAGCTCGAGCTGGAGCCCAGAAGCATTCCTGCGGCCGCCCTGGCAGCGAGTGGAACAACGTGGACAAGTGGCTTTGCCGAGGGCCTTGCCGGAGTCTCTGCGGGCTGAGCTGATAGCCCATCGGCAGGTCAACAGCATCAGCATCTTGTTCAAGGTGCTGAAGGTTTATCAACCCGGAGGCTTGGGAGAAAGGACTGCACCCTTGGGCGGGCAGGGCCGGCTCCCCTAGAGCCCCTAAGCCCCCCAAGTCCTCCAGGTCCCCTGGGTTCTCCAGGTTCCCTAGGTCCCCTGGGTCCCCTAACTGCCTAAAGCTGCACTCACAAACGCCCGCGCCAGGTGAACACGAAGTGCTTGCCACTCGCCGCTTCCGCAGCCTTGGGCGGGCAGGGCCGGCTCCCTAGAGCCCCCAGGCCCCTAAGCCCCCCGAGTCCCCCAGGTCCCCTGGGTCCCCCAGGTCCCCTGGGTCCCCCAGGTCTAGGTCCCCTGGGTCCTCTAACTGCCCTAAAGCTGCACTCACAAAGGCCAACGCCAGGTGAACACGATACAAAAAACAGAAGAAACAAGAGATAATAAACCCAGAAACAGACGCTGACGTAACAAGAAAAACTAGAAGACAATTGGCCCGAAAGCATTGTTGCCCATGCAGCTCTTTCTGCGTAGGCGTCTCTGCGCAAGTTGCTCTTTGTGCAAGTTGATCTGCGCAAGTTGCTCTGTGCAAGCTGGTCTGCGCAGGTTGCCCTGTGCAAGTTGCTCTGGCAAGGTGATCTGCGCAGGGGACTCTGCGCAAGTTTCTCTGCGCAAGTTGCTCTGCCGAAGTTGCTCTGCGCAAGTTGCTCTGCGCAAGTTGCTCAGCGCAAGTGCTTGTGCTCTGTGCAAGTCGCTCTGCGCAAGGTGACTTTGAGCAAGTAACTGCGCCAAGGCTTTGCGCAAGTGACTCCGCGAAGGGCGCTCTGCGCAAGCTGTTCTGCGCAAGTTGCTTTGCGCAACTGTTCTGCGCAAGTTGTTCTGTGCAAGTTGCTCTGCGCAAGTGCTCTGTGAAGGCTGCCCTGTGCAAGTTGCTCTGCGCAAGTTGCTCTGTGCAAGGTGGTCTGCGCAGGTTGCCCTGTGCAAGTTGCTCTGCGCAAGTGCTCTGCGCAAGTTGCCCTGTGCAAGTGCTCTGTGCAAGTTTTTCTGCGCAAGTTGCTCTGCGCAAGTGCTTTGCCAAGTGCCCTGCTCAAGTTGCTGCGTGCAACTTGCTCTGCGCAAGTTGCCCTGCGCAAGTTGATCTGCGCAAGTGCTGCCGGAGCTGCAGGACTGTACTGCGCGTACTACGTTAGTACTTAAAAGTTGCGATTTTCCAGCCCGAGCTGCGGGAGTGTACTCCGCGTACTACGTTTGTACTTAAAAGTTGCGATTTTCCAAGCGGATGTGCGGGAGTGCACTCCGCGTACTACATTTGTACTTAAAAACTTGCGATTTTCCAGCCGGATCTGCGGGAATGCACTCCGCGTACTACGTTTGTACTTAAAAGTTGCGATTTTCCAGCCGGAGCTGCGGGAGTGTACTCCGCGTACTACGTTTGTACTTGAAAGTTGCGATTTTCCAAGCGGATGTGCGGGAGTGCACTCCGCGTACTACATTTGTACTTAAAACTTGCGATTTTCCAGCCGGATCTGCGGGAATGCACTCCGCGTACTACTTTTGTACTTAAAAGTTGCGATTTCCATCTAGAAAAGCTGCCGCGGACCAAGCGGGGATCGAACCCGCGACCGCGCGATTCGGGGAGCAGCCGCGCACACCACGAGACAACTTCCGAAGACCAGTTCGGAATCGAAATTAAAGGACCGGATAACCCCACATGTCTAGCTTAAAAGAACTTTGGCCCGCGTGAATCAGAAGCACGCGCGACATCCCACGACATGCGGGGAGCGCGAGTGAGTTGCAATTCATGAGCCTGAGTGAGCCCAAGGGCCTGTGCTCATGTCTCTAACCAATGCCCTGTGTCAAATACTTCTGCGCGCTTGCGCGCTGCGCAAGTTGCTTTGCGCAGGTTGCTTGCGCAGGTTGCCTTGCGCAGGTTGCTCTGTGCAAGTTCTCTGCGCAAGATGTTCTGCGCACGTTTCTCTGCGCAAGTGCTCTGCACAAGTTCTTCTGCGCAAGTTGCGCTGCGCAAGTGCCCTGTGCAAGTGAGTGTTAGTTCTGACTTTGCAGCTAGAGCTGCGGGAAGGTACTCCGCGTACTACTTTTGTACTTATAAGCTGCGATTTTTGAGCCGGAGCTGCGAAACTGCACCTCGCGTGCTACTTTTGTACTTAAAAGTTGCGATTTTCGAGCCGGAGCTGCGAAACTGTACCTCGCGTAGCGTATTACTTTTGTACCTAAAAGTTGCGATTTTGGAGCCGAGGCTTCGGGACTGTACCTCGCGTACTACGTTTGTACCTAAAAGTTGCGATGTTCGAGCCGGCACTTCGCGTACTGCTTTTGTACTTAAACGTTGCGATTTTCGAGCCGGAGCTGCGAAACTGCACCTCGCGTACTGCTTTTGTACTTAGAAGTTGCGATTTTCGAGCCGGAGCTGCGAAACTGTACCTCACGTACTACTTTTGTACTTAGAAGTTGCAATTTTCTATTTGAACCCCAAAGGCTTGGCGCAATTTCGATTGCAAATTGAAAGCAAATCCCGACGGATCCCAACGGCTTGGCAAGATTTCAACCCAACATTTTGCAAGGCCTGAATCTGATTTCCTAACATTATGGCCTCCAGCCGGGTTCCGCCGACTCTACAGGGCGGCAAGGTCTAGGCTAGACACACACACACACACACACGCACGCACACACGCCCACACACAAACACACACGCACACACGCGTACATGCGTACGCGCGTACAGGCGTGCAGGCGCGCACACGCGTACACGCACAGACGCGTACCGGCGTACACGAGTATACATGCGTACGGGCGTGCACGCGTACACGCGTACAGGCGTACGCACATTAAGGCGTAAAGGCGTACGCGCGTAAAGGCGTACACGCGTACGGGCATACACGCGCACACGCGCACGGGCGTACGCGCGTAAACGCGTACGGGCGTACACGCGTACAGCCGTACACGCGCACACGCGTACACGCGTGCACGCATACAGCCGTACACGCGTACACGCCTGCACGCCTACACGCGTACAGGCGTACAGGCGTACAGGCGTACATGCGTGCAGGCATTCAGGCGTACAAGCGTACGCGTACACGCACACACGCGTACCGGCGTACACGAGATACATGCATACGGGCGTGCACGCGTACACGCGTACAGGCGTACACACATTAAGGCGTAGAGGCGTACAGGCGTACACGCGTACGGGCGTACACGCGTACACGCGCAAGGGCGTACACGCGTACACGCGTACAGGCGTACACGCGTACAGCCGTACACACACACACACGCACGCACGCACACACGCCACACACACACACACGCACACACGCGTACATGCGTACACGCGTACAGGCGTGCAGGCGTGCAGGCGTACACGCGTTCACGCGCAAGGGCGTACACGCGTACGGGCGTACACGCGTACAGCCGTACACGCGCACACGCGTACACGCGTACACGCATACAGCCGTACACGCGTACACGCCTGCACGCCTACACGCGTACACGCGTACAGGTGTACATGCGTACAGGCATTCAGGCGTACGTACGCGTACACGCACACACGCGTACCGACGTACACGAGTATACATGCGTACGGGCGTGCACGCGTACACGCGTACAGGCGTAGAGTCACATCCATCGTCAATGAAGATTCGACCGAGCTCCTTCCTGATGTCGAGAACGTACTCGTTGATCAGCAAAACTTCCATCTCTCTTTCTGCCTTCTTGAGACCTTCCAGGAGCGTCGCGACATGCTGCACCTGACCGTTCGCCTTGGAGACCTTGTCCAAGAAAGTCTCCACGTTCTGGATGAACTGCTGGTGACCGTCGGGAGCAGTGGAGAATCGGAATCCAACGCATATCTCGTTGACCACATGTCTGGAAAACACGCGAACTGGATTCTCAACCGCCATGTTCCGCTTCCCACGAACGATCCACATCCCTTCGACCTCCGAAAAGTGTAAAGGGTAGCCGCAGATCACCGTCCCGTTCTCCGTGAGTCCACAGTCGTACTTCACGAGTGTGAGTGCGGGCACGTAGACGACAAGCAAGTGGTCACAGTCAGGAATCCAAGTGGTGGTGGAGTAGTTTCCGGCACTCCACGGCGGTAGGATCCCAAACTTCAGCAGTCTGACCTCTCCATGGTGATCTGTTTCCATGGTAAGCCCTCTGATGGGACCGGGAGAAGGGAGTGTATGCCTTGCGAAAGTTCGCACGGATGACCCATGGCCGAATCCACCCCTGATGCTTTCCCAGCACCTCATTGATCTCCTGCTCGCTCATCCCACTATCAGCCTTGAGCAAAGACGCCAAGTGCTCCTGTGTCCTCGCAATCATTCCATGTCCCCATCGGTACCTAGCACCAAGGACCTGGAAGTGCACCTTCTCCATTGCACATTCAAGCTGGTAGTTGAGGACCTCCATGAGAAGTCTCCAAGCCCTCCATGTGCATCCATCATGGTTGAAGATGACTTCGCCATTCTTAGTTCCAGCCAACTGCCGCAGCCCATAGGAAAGGCGCTTCGACATCTCGGTGATCTGGCGGGGTGTCATGACCCTTGTCGTCCTGTCAGCATCGAAGTTTGAGTCCTGAAAGTAGCCGTAGCACATCTCAGTTGGGTTGACCGGCTCAAGCTCCAGTTCGGGAGACCAGCGCAGGCACTCATGTAGCCCGGATACCAGTTTCCATGGCGATCTCGTCCAGCATACTTCGAGGTTTCCCGGCTAGGAATCTGAAAGACATCAGGCACTCGAATGCTCCTCACACCCGTGGTAAGCTCCAGGTGGTTGACGCCCTCTAGCAGCTCGCCCTTGATGTTCAGAGGCATCCTTGGGCGACTCTTCAGTCTTTTGCCTCTTCTGTTGATGATGCTGCTGCTCCTCCTGACCTCTAACGTTGGAAAGGATCCATTCGATCTTCTCCTGGTACTCTTTCTTCTTCTCCTCCTCTTCGCATTCCTCGGCGTGGTGGCCCTTGCGCTGGCAGCATAGGCAGATTCTCTGTACCATCATGTTATTCACCACCACACATAACATAACGATAGTTCACACAATATTAATAACAAATTATTTTTTAAATAAATATTTTGTAATAGTTATATATGTTGTATATTGATATTATAAAAAACAACATAGCAATTAACAAGTATAAATGTGAATGTGGTATGGATGTAAGCACCAAGAATAAAGAGATTCATGAAGCTAATGATTTAAATCATTTGTTTTATATGCGAGATGATATTAAAAAAGACTGTTAGACGAATACCGTGAAATTATTGAATATGAAGATGAATATTTGGAAAAGTATTGTATGAATATTGAACTTGATTATACTGATAGCAAAAGAGGAGATTATGTTGATTATGATGAATTTCTTAAAATACAAGAAAATGTACCAATCCCGGAAAATATGAATATAGTAGATGAAGAAGATTTAAAGTTTTTGTATGATTATAGAGATGAATTAGAATATTATGAGAACCGTATAAAGGATATAACTAAATAATATTATTTTATCAATAATATTAAATATCATTTAATATTTTTCTAAATGAATTTAATATTATTTATCTTATGTCAAAACATAATTCGCCACCAAAAATAGAACCAATAAACGTTAGACAATTTGAATTTAAGCAACCAACCTATGATAAAGCAGATAAACTACCATTTCGTAGTATTATTTGTAGTTCATCACAAGGTGGTAAAGGTATATTAATTCAAAATTTAGTGTTAAAAATATACCGTTCCTGCTTTGAACGTATATATATCGTCTCTCCAACGGCAACGATTGATGAAGCATATAGAGAAATAATTAAATATGTAGAAACTGAATTAAAAGTAGATAATAACAAGGAACAATATTTATTTGATGAATATAATCCAGACGCGCTACAAAATATAATTGACACACAACATAAATAATAGATTATCAAAAGAAAATGGGAATGAAGAAACTATTTAGTTGCTTATTGATTATTGATGATTTTGCAGAAGATAGAACATTTATGAGATACAGTAAAATTTTACATGGTTTATATACTAAATCAAGACACTTCGGTTTGTCAGTAATAACAGCGGTTCAAAAATATAACAGTCTCGCTCCAATAGTTAGGTTAAATACAAGCAGTTTATATATTTTCAAATTAAAGAATATGAGTGAGGTGGATACCTTTGTCCAAGAACAATCAGCGTTAGTTGGTAAACAAACATTAATGAACATATATCAGATGGCGGTTAATGACCAGCCTTTTAGTTTTTTATTTGTTAAACTTCGTGAGAATGATGTGAATAAAATATTTATGGTTCGTTTCGAAAAAGAAATACACATTACAAATAATTAATTTAAAATATGACATGTATGTATATTTAATATGAGATTATGTAGATGTGGAGGATATTATAGAATAGGTTATTATAATGTTCATCGTAAATCGTGGATACACCAATTTTATAAGTCAAGAGGACGACCAATAACAGAAGAAGAAATAATATTATTTTTTAATAGTATTAATATAAATGATGGTTATGACTCTGATGTATCAACTGATGTGCCGGAAAATTAATAATATTAAACATATTAATATTATTAATTTTAAAACAAACTCATATTGCAAAGATCTATACGTGGCAATGTATAAATCATTTTATTAGATTTTTCTTTCTCAATTTTAATTAATTTTTCATTTAATTGTTTAATGGCTTTCAACTGTAATTTATCAATATTGCTAAGATCAAGGGCTTCTATATCAATTTCATGTATTTTATTAATGCTTGAAGTTTCAACACTACTATTTGAATTACCCATTATATTATTTACTTAGATGTTAATTTAAATACTTCTAATTCTAAATCTTCAACTCTTTTAATTAACTTTTGTAATGCATCTAATGTTATAACTCCTATTTTTTCATAACTAGCATTTCAATATTCTCCATTCGTATTAACTACATCATATTTATCAGGGACTGGTGTTTGAAGTTGTTGTGCTATATATCCTATTTCTGTTTTAGTGTTTCCTTTCTTAATAAATGTTTTAACTTTTATATGTTTAACAATATTAATAGCATTTTCAATTACATCTTCTATATTTGTTTTTAGTCTTTCATCGGATGGCAATGTAAAACCATTATAACTTACAAAATTTGTAGTATTTAATTCTAAATATTTAACTCCAGTAATATAAGAATTTATCACACTTCCACTAATGGCTTCTAATTTCAATTCTGGTGTTGTTCTATTTCTTATATAATCAGTATATAATCCATGAGCAGTATTTACTAAAATATCTTTTGAATTTAATGTATTTTCAAAAAATGTTTCAGAATAAACATTAACAGCAGTTTTAGAAGCAGTTAAAATTCTATCTGCATTAGTAGCAACATCACCAGCAACAAGTCTAAAACCCCCAGCAGTAGAAGTGTGGACGATATCCATTGTATTCCATGCAGCATTCTTTTGAATTTCTACATTATCAATACTTAATTTATTTGTAGCACCAATAATAACATTTTCACAAGTTAAAGCCCCTCCTGTTATTGTTATAGGGTCATAAAAATAACTAGGTTTAAACACACTAAAATTATCCCAAGACATAGTAGCAACATTAATATCTGTATCTGTGCCTTCCAACCCACAGTCAAAGCTTATAATACCATAATCTTTTGAAGTGTTTGTAATTTCTAAATTTTGAACAACTAAAGGATTTTCATAATAACTAATAATCCGACTTCCAATTTTAATATTATTAGCAGTGTTAATATTTAAATGGGCATTAACATTAACAGTTCCACCACTATAATCATCAATAGTATTTGTCTGTAAAGTTCCTTGGCATTCCATGTTTTTATAAACAAATATTTTTGTATTATTGCCGTCAATCATCATATAAGCATTAGAAGCAATTGAAGGGTCTGAACCTATATGAAATGTAATTTGATTATTATCCATTAAATATAAACTGCTTGTAGCAACTAATGTATATTTTCTAATCCATGCACTACTATTAAAATTTATATATGAACCATTATTAATATTTAATATTTTATTAGTTCCACTCATAGTAATATTACCTGTCATAACAGTGTCAATAAACTGACTAACCCCACCAACAGATAAAAAGTATCCTATAACTGGCGCCCTACCAATACCAACTCTAGCATTTGAAGTTGTTCCTATTCTTACACGTGCATCGCTTGTATTTTGTAAAACCATTTCACTGCCATTAACTGGATTACCTGCGTCCATGCAATTAAAATTTCTGTTTCTAAACTCCCAAACTCCTTGACTGTCCATAATTCTTATTGTAGGATTTCCATCACCTGAAGCCCTAATAATATCTGTTCCTGTTAATGGGACATTAATATCACCTCCTAATGTAATATTACCGTTAAATGTTAAATCTGATGCTATGGCTTGAGCAACTGCTGTTAATTTGTCTACTTTTTGACTTATTGAAACATCTTGAGAATTATTAACTGTAATTATTGAGTTTATTGTATTTGTATTACCTGCTATTAAGGCATCTAATCCTGCACTTTGCAAAACATACCTAGCATCAGAACCAGTAATATTTAATATTGATGAATTTGTAAAAGAACCTATAACTTCTAAATTACTTGTTATTGTTGTGTTCTGCTTAAGCAGAACTTTATCACTTTTAAACTCTGCACCAGCATTTATTACAACGTCGCCTAAGCCTCGTACATTAATACATAATGGTTCTCCTAATTGAGTTCCATAATTATAAACATCATAATAATTATTCCACATCTCATGATAGTATAACCAATTTCCGAACTGAGCTATTTTAAAAGTTGTGTTATTTGGTATAATTTGAACTAATGTATTTTCTAAACAGATGTTTCAGTTTTATTATAATATAAACTACTATCAAATACTTCCATATTATTAATTAAATAAGTATTTGATGAAACATTATTAAATAATGTTGTTGATGTAGCATTTAAATTTCCTATTAAAAATGTATTTGAAGAAATAAAATTATAATTATTATTAATTTTATCAGTATTAGAGTTAACAATAGTAATAATTGAATTTATAGTTAATTCATGCGATGCAATATTATTTAAATTTGTTGTTATTGTAATATTTTGAATAATATTTTCATTAAATA